CATTCTTTCAACTTTGTCAATCAGTTGCTGATGCTATTGCGGTGGAATTGGACCAGTTTGCAATGGAGCTAAATTCGGCACAACAAGCATGGGGGTATTTGGAGTCCACGTACATGGGCACGAAGGACGACATCAAGTTGGCAGTGAGAAAGCATTGCTGATGCTGAACATGGAGAATGACGAATTTTGCCAATGCTGAACATGGAGAAGGACAAGTACGAATCCGACATTGGTATGTTTACGTATAAACTACTAGACAATTTGATGAAGTTTTTGGAGATTCTTCCATCCCTTGAGACGGTCAAGGAGATGAAGAAGAGGAAGGCTACAGCAGTAGCAAAAGAAATTGAGGAGGAGAGACCTGCTATGGTAAATGAGGCGGCAAAAATGACATTTGGAGCATGCTACCAATGTGGAATGAGGGGGCAGCATGCGATTAGTTGCTATGAGAATCTGAGGAACAAGAACTACAAAGGGAAAACGGGGAAGAACGACAAGGGAGAGAACGGGGGATCGGAGTGGCAGCAGAAACGAGGATTCGGCGGCAATTGTGATTATTCTGGGCGCTATGGAAATCGAAAGCCTTCTTCAAGCGCTTAAACCCAGCCCATATTATCAACCATTTTGTTCTCGTTTTTTTGCCGATTTTGGTGTTCATTAGTGCCACGGATTTGTGACGCTGAGACCTATCCACAAATTTCTCACACGGGTTTTAATATCAAGTATTGAGTTCACGACGACGTTTCAAAGCTGGGGGTTTTCCTACATGGTTTTCAGAGCTTGACGCCTAGTTCTACTCCACGTCATGTCTTTGGCTACCTCATCGACCTCTAGTGTCCCCGTTTGTCCTACCCCCAATGAGTCCTACTCCGCATCTACGACGATCGTCGACATGAGTGCGGTGCCATTGTTCAATGGCGAGCACCACGCATCGTGGCGCTTCAAGTTGAAGGTTCACATGATGGAGCGTAAACTTTGGGGCTTCTTCGACGGATCCTTTCTCAAGCGCCTCGGCATCGAAGCATGGAGCATGGGTAAAGAAGGGTCGAAGCTCTTGCTTCAACTTGTGCCGGTGGTGAGCTCGTGCATCGACCTTGAAGGAGTTACACGTGAAGCTTGGAGGCGAGAACATCCATATGTTGAATTCTTTCCACGGCAAGCTGCAAGCTAGGTGGAAATTCTTCACCGTGCGCATCAAGGAGGGCGAGCGCATACGCGCGTACGCGTTGAGGAGCCTGGCGAACGAATAGTGGAGCTCGAAGCGAATGTGGACGAGAAGGATTGGATCATGACCACCCTTGAAGGAACGCAAGGAGAGGTGTGGTCAACCGTCATAACCACACTTGAAGCAAGCGACGTGGACCAAGGAAGATGTGACGACACGCCTCATCAACGAGCGGATGCGGCGGAACATCTTGCAAGGCGATGCAACGAGTTCAGCTCATTTCACATGTGGTGCGAGGAATGACAGTGAGCTTTTCACGTGGAGGACACGCCAACAACAACCGTGGCCATTCTCGTGAAGGAGCACGCCGCTATTTCAAGAAGATTGGGCATTGTTGACGCGAGTATCAGAGCAAGCCAAGGGATTAAAATCCAGCCCCTCCAACTCAAGAGGTGCGGCGCTCGAGCGTGGTGACATCGGGAGATAACACCTAGGAGCTCGTGTTCATCGCGGGAGAAGGGTCTATTGGGGGGTTCGCATGGCTTCTCGACACGGGAGCTACGCAACACATGACGTCGCACGCAGAGATTCTTAAAGATGTATCAACGGATGCTCATATCAAGCGTGTGGTCTTCGGTAACCAAGACTCGCTTGAGGTGAATGGACGCGGAATGTTGCACCTCGCGGTGGACGGCGGCCCAATGATGCCCAACAACGTATTGGTTGTACCGGGACTCGGCGCCAACTTGCTCTCAATGTCACGACTCACCACAAAGAGAATGCGTGTCAACATCGAAGGCGCGGCCATGACCTTCAGCACATCATCCGGGCGTCTCATCAACAAAGCGCATCAAGACGGCAGTCTCTTCAAGCTCGTGGCTACACCGAACCTTGCGTCGGCGCACGCGGCGATGGCGAAGCCTTCCTTGGAGATTTGGCACAACCGCTTCACACAGACTTGTGTGGACCGATTACCCCTGCCTCCAAGGTGGAGCACGCTACATACTCACCCTTCTCGACGACGCTACACGAATGTGTGGGTCTATATTTTCAAGGACAAGAGCGCGACTTCCACGACAATCAAGGAGTGGGAGCACGATGGGCTACTCGTGAAGCGGATTCGATCGGATGGGGGGGAGAGTATGTGAACAAGGAGCTCGGCGGATGGTTCAAGGAGAGAGGAACCTTCCATGAAGAATCGGTACCTTACTCACCTTAACAAAATGGAGCGGCGGAGCCAAGAACCGCACTTTGGTTGAGGCGATTAGGAGCATGCTTGCCCATGCTCATGCGGACAAATCTAGGTGGGGTGGGGTAGCTTGGATTCACAACCGAAGGTTGACCAAGACCTTGCTGAACAAGACCAATATTGAGGCTTGGAGTAGGGGCAAATCGGACGTCTCCAACCTTCGCACATTCGGGTGCATTTGCTACTATCACGTCCTTGATGCTATACGCACGCGCGCGCGGGGATGTACTTTGGCCATAGCCTTGATCACAAGGGATGGCAAGTATGGGACTTGGAGAGCGGAAAGGTGGTGGTGTCGCGTGACGTCTCTTTCTTCGAGAGCCGCTTCCCAACTCCATCAAGCGAGAAGCATTCGATCGTGGTCATCCCTCCAACAGTTGATGATACGAACGAGGCATCCACTCATGATTTTCCCGATGAGAAGCGTGTTCAAGATGAGGAGGGAGATGTTGTTGAATTAATTGAAGTTGAGAGTAAGAAATTTTATGCTCCTTCTACCGTCGTTCCTCCAACGCTTGCCTTTACTCGTACTCGAAGAGCCCTTCACGACTTCTCATTTGTGGGGGAGGATAACGAGGAAGAGTATCACCCCGGGATGCACATCAATCGCGATTGTGCGAACAAGACCTTTCATCTTCATCAACACAAGTACTTGGACGATGTGGTGGGTCGTTTCAGGATGGCTGGGAGCAAGCTGGCACCCACACCCATGCGAGTGGGGTTCCACCCTTTGGCTACAAGCGAAGAGAACCCGATGGATCCCGAGAAGACTAAGCACTTTCATTCCATAGTTGGGTCATGCATGTAGGTTGCCGTGAGCACTCGTCACAATCTCTCATTCACGGTAGGACTACTTGGGCGAGTTGTCTCCAACCCCATGGTGGAGCATGAGCGTGCCTTGCGTCGTCTCCTTCACTTTGTGAGAGGAACTAGTCACTTAGGGCTCCACTATGAAGCCGGGCCAATATTGCTCCAAGGTTTCACCAACCGAGGGAAAGGGGGTGACGTGCAACACACCAGACGGGGCAGCACGGGAGAGCGAGCGGAGGAGAGCGAGCGGAGGAGTGGGGCAGGAGTGCGAGCGGGAGTGAGAAAGAATGGAGGGGGGGAAATAGGGGTACCTCGGTGAGGGAAGCGAGTGTAGAGCAGACAGACTCGTCAAAAGTGACGTCACGAGAGTGGAGGAAACGGTGAGACGAAGGGTGGTAGAACAGCCACTCACGGGTGTCGAGGGGGAAACCAGGGAAGACACACGGGAGACTGCGTGCTAAGAGATTGTCCGCGCGAGGGTCGCGGAGGTCAGCAAGGCAGCCCCAGACGTGAAACGCAAACGCAGCACCAGGCGACCCAGTCAAGAGGAGGGTCAGCGAAACCTGCGGCCGTGAGACACGGGGCCACGGGTATAAGCAGGTGTGCGGCGTAGCGGAGGCCACACGACGCCGAGCTGTCAGACCCGCCACCGCGGCCACTGCTCCCCGGGCCAGCAGGTCCCCACTGCCGCTGGGAAACCCACTGTTGGAGCTGCTGCTGCTGCTGCTGCTGATGATGATGCGACTGCTGCTGCTGCTGCAGCTGCTGTTGCTGCTGAGTCACCGTCGCACCCCAGCACCTCCTGCGGCAACACCCCCAGAACCAGCACTCCCATCGTCAGCACCCTCCGATGTACCAGCACCGCCACCTCCTCCATGACCACGACCACCCGTGCGTCGTCCCCGCCCACCATAGGGGGCAGAGACAGCTGCGATTTCCGCGGCAGCAGTAGGCTCAGCAACAGTAGCAGAGGCAGTTGGGGTAGGGAACTGGGGCGGAGCGCACCCCTCAAGGATGGGGGGAAGTACCACACTAGTGGTGGAGGCGATGGTGTGAAGGCGTGTCTCGATCTCAGTGAGACAAGTCGCAAAGAGATCGATAGTGAGGCTCATGGGGTGCATGGCGAGGAGGGCGTCGCTGGTAGGCGCAAGGCGGTCAGGGCGGCAGGTCGCTAGGAAGTGCAGGGTGAGATACATGGGGGGGGGAGCAGTGTAAGCAGCGCGGAAGCTAGTGTTAAGCGAGCGCTGGTTGGTAGTGGGGCCAGCGACAGTGGGGAAAACAGGGAGATCATGGAGGAAAGGCACGAGGAGCCGCCCCAGAGTAGTAGAGGAGGGGGTGGAGTAGCGAGCAAATATAGCATCCAGACACTCCTTAGTCGTCTCGGCCTGGCAAAAGTGCACTCGCTCGGCCGGTGGCAGGAGGCGACTAAGAGAAAGGTGCGCAGCAGCGTCATGCGAATCCCAAACCGAGTACGCAAGCTAGGCCGCGCGGTGAGCCTCCCTCTCCTCCGACGGGGGCTCAGCAACAAGAAAAGTAGGACGGTGGGGGGCAGGTAGCTCACCCGACATGTGGGCGTACAGGGAAACGTTGTTCTGCAGGTGGAGCTTGGCGTCGAGCAGCCACGCATCAAAGTTGATCGTCCGCCCCTCCGCATCGAGCCGCACTACGAACTTGGACGTCATAACAGGAGTGAGCAGGGCATAGCTCTAGCGGATGAGAGGGGACAGCCGTAGGCGGAGGAGGAGACGATCAGAGGCAGGCAGGCGGAGGTCCACCTTAAACCCGAAACCACGGCTGCAGGCATGGCGGCGGGCAGCAGCTGCGGGCACGGCGGCGGGCAGCAGCGGTAGGCTCTGCGGCGTCAACTGGCGTGCGGCAGGTGGGGTAGTAGGTGCGGCCGGCAGGCGCGGCAGCGGGCGCTGCGGCAGGCGCGGCGGCAGGCGTGCGATGGGCGCTGCTGCAGGCGCGGCCGGCAGGCGCGCGACAAACCCTGTGGTAGGAGGCGACGGGGGGCGCGCGACGATAGGTGCGCGGCAGGTGTGACGGCAGGCGCGACGGCAGGCGCAGCGTCAGGACGCGACAGCAGGCGCGGCGGCAGGCGCGGCGGCAGGGCGCGCCGACGGGCGAGCGGCAGGCGAGGCGGTCGCGACTGCGGGGGGTGGCAGTAGGTGTGCGGAAGGCGCGACGAGAGGGCGCTATAGTAGGCGCGAGGTCAGGTGCGGCGGCAGCCACGGTCGGCAGGCGCGGCTGTAGGCGTCCCGGCATGGCGTGACGGCAGGCAAGCCGGCAGGCGCAACAGCAGGCAAGCCGACAGGCGCGCGGTAGGCGAGGCGGCAGGGCGCGCAGCAGGCGCGGCGGCAGGGCGCTGCGCCAGGCAAGCCGGCATGCGCGCAGCAGGCGTGGCGGCAGGGCGCGACGGCGGGTGCGCGTCAGGCGTGGTGGCAGGGAGCGGGAACAGGCGCGGCCGCGGGACGCGACGGGGTGCAGCGGGGCGCGACGGCGGGGCGCGACGGGGCGGAGGCTGTGGCGCGACGGGGCGCGACAGGGCGGCGGCTGGGGCGCGACGGGGCGCGACGGCAGGGCGCGGCGGGGAGCGACGGTGTGGCACGACGGGGCTACTAGAGGGGGGCGCGACGAGGCGCTAGAGGGGGCCGCTAGAGGGGGGTCGCTAGAGGGCACGAGGGCGCCAGAGGGCGCTAGAGGGGGGTGGCGCTCGAGGGTGCCAGAGGACGCTAGAGGGGGCCGCTAGAGGGGGGGCCACTAGAGGGGGCCGTGAGGGCACTAGGGCAGCTAGGGAGGTAGGTGGGGCGGAAGCGAGAAACCTAACCTAATCTGATACCATGTCAGGAACAGAATGAATGACTCATGAGGGCATACAAGGGGGGTATAAGTAACATCACATACCCTCTTAGTGCAACCCAACCTAGCCTACAAAGTACATACCGGTATACAAATATATGTGTGCACGTTGACAATACGCTGAAAATTGCACACAAACATATTTTACAATCATTTGAGGGCACGTCCTATCCAAGCGCTCGTACGGTACCATCTTTTGATTGCATCATAATAACGGGCCTTGCAATCTCAGTTTTTTCCGTGTATCTAAGGCCCAGTCAGCCACAAGGTTTTTGAATGAATACTGTCGTATAGAAACCTCACTATAGGATGGGAAGTAAGTGTAGCAATGTGCTGCTGAGGCTGGGATGTACGCCACCCATGTAGGTTGTTCTTCCACTATGGCCTTCACACTTGCGATGAGTGTGCTGCCCGCCACTAAGATAGCATTGGTCTCCTCAGGTGTGCACGTTTTCACCTTCCCCGCCACGGCATTGCGCCAGGCGCTGTAGCCCATGGCGTGCGTGAGGTTGGCTGTACTGCGCAATATGTTGCTGATGCACTGCTTGGCATAGCCGGTGTCGTTGCGGATTTGGTTGCCAAGTATGAGAGCTCGGTGGTCCAGGAGGGGCGAGAGGAGGAAGACGGGTGTGGTAACCTGCGGCAAGGTATACTGAGGGAAGAAGCAGCGCCACTGGGTGGATGGCCCCTCCGCTGCAAGTAGACGTGAAAGAAACAAGTGGAGTTAGCTTGCAGATGTCCGGGAAGTGACGATTCGTGTCTTTAACTACCACGGCTGAGATTACAACATGATGGAAAGGAAGTACTCAGGCCGAGGGACCAGGCGTGCGAGATTACCTTGCATGCACTTATCGTTGCCCTGGGCCCTGTGCAGTGTTGTCATCTGCCTGGCTACCTGCCGAAAGTGCCATGCGCCCGTCCTGTCCTTGGCGTCTGCACACAAGGGGTGGCGTGTGCAAAGATAGCATATGGGCCATTGCTCATGACGTTGACATCCACAACTCACAACCGCGAGCCAAAGTCCATCCAGCAGGTGATACTGCGTACAAGGAGACTCCGCTCGTGCATACTGCCAGCACTTGCCATGTCTTCAAGTCCCTTCCCTGTGCGCTTCACAGACCCATAGCTCCATGTGACTCACCCAGGAATATCACCGAGTCCACGAGGCACTTGGTCACGGCTCCGGGCACCATGGCCGCCACGCGCTCGCACCACGCTGTCACAGCCTGCCCACCCGTTGATGCCCCCGCCACCAGCACACGCCGTGCAGACGCCAACCCACGCACTGCCAGGAGATCTGCAGGGCAAGGGACGGGTGGAGGAGGAGGCAGTAGTGGTGAGCCGGGCAGGAAACATGCTGCTTGCAGCACCACTGGCCTGTCATACCGTTGTCGCCCACATGGCTGTGGGAGTGTGGGAGCAGGTAAGGCTGGAATGGTGATGCTCAGGCAACACAAGTGCAATTAGCCGTGCTTCGTTTGGTGCTACTCACGAGGTTAGGGCCTACGGGGGTAACCAGGGAGGCGTCAGATGGGGCATACGGTGTGGCAAACAGAGATTGAACGGCAGCAGAGATTGAAACTGTCACATGGAACATGGGCGAGTAAAAAGCCGAAATGGAGGGACATGGAACTGACCTGCGAGAATGGTTCGTGTAACATTGTAGCCATCGAGGTAAACGGAGCTGTTTCCTTTCCCTGGCAGGTGCACGCGGCCAGCGGTGCCAGCGCAGCCCCCCCCGTCGCAGTAGATGGGCAGGGCGAGGTTCCAGTTGAACAGCCCCGGGTTCACCGCCTCGCTGCTGCTCAGCATGCCGTTGAACCCAGGCACCGCGCGCAGAGGGGACGCGCTCTGCACGGCCGGCGATTGCGCGCACCGCGGAACCACAGGGACGGGCACATGTAGACGGAGGGAAGCACGGGAAGAAGGAGAATACGGGGCAGAAGAGTTGAAGGAAAGTGGGGAATGAGGACATGGCGTGGTTTTAAGGCACGGAGGGATGAATTGAGAGAGACAGTGAAGTGGCGGAGCCAGGGGAGGAAAAACACGACGGGGAATGGGGAGAAGGGGGTGCATGGAGGAGACGCTTGGCGGGTGCTGCGCAGCAGCGCAGAAGTGTAGCGTGACAGATATGGTGTTCGGGACAGCGGGTTGAAGAGGGTTGCGGGATGCAGGGAAACTACGGTACATGACGCAGGTGGAAGTCAGGAGTGAGGGTGTCAAGTGGGGAGTGTGGGGGCGCACGGGATGGCAGCTGCGAGAGAGAGCCGTCGCAGGACTGACCTGCGAGTCGTCGCTGTCGTCGAACGACGACGACGGCGACGACGGCGTGGGGAAAAGGAAAGGGGGACGCGACGGGGTGGTGGCGGGAGGTGTGGGGGGAGTCGGGACGAAGGCGGAAGGGGGTGCGGAGCCGTTGAGGCGAGCCCAGTAGCGCGTGGAGCCGAGCGGACGAGTGGCGCGCAGGGCGCAGTCCGCGAGCGTGGTGCACCATCCCCCCGCGGGCAGGAATATGTGCCAAAAGCGCTTCCCCGCGCCAAAGCCCGGGCGGAAGTAGTACCCCGGGGGACTGCGGGGTCAGCGACGGAAATGGAGGGTAGCAAGTGTTTCGAAACTGTTTTTTTTTTCGAATGAGCGTGCATCACATTATTCTGCACTTTCTCGAGAATTCGCCGCCGACAGTCAGACCAGACAAAGTCTGCTCGTCATTCCTGGTATCAGTAGCGCCGCCCTCCCGTTCCCGAACGCCACACCTCGCCCCGGCTCTCACCTGCCGTCGAGGCATTTCGCGCCCAGCGGGTTGTTGGGCAGAAGTACGAGGCTCGTGCTACTCAGCCCGCCCGGCGCCTGCGGCTTTTGTTTGGTCGCTGCGAGCTGCCTGCCTGCCGTGGTCGGCGGCGAGGGTGAGTGTTGGGCAAGAGAGCAGTAGAGAGAGAGGTGCAGCAGCAGCGCTGCTACCAGGGCACAGCGAACGCTCGGTGGAAGCGGCATTGCGAGCGGCTAATACTACGGTGGCTCGAATCAGCGGCGGTGCAGGCTCGGACGAAGCGCGGCGATCAGCTCACGCGTGTAAGAAGAAGATTGGCCACCTCAACGCGCGAGATGCGCGTGGACACGGCGGGAGCTGGGCACGAAGTAAGTGCTCCAGTCGATGTCGCGGAGCCCCCACAACAAGTGGAAACGCCAACGATGTCTCATGGCAATAATCTCTGCATTCCCGACCCATCTTGTGCGCAAACGGCTTCTATGAGAAAGACGATGATAGCCTAGAGCCCCAAGCGCACGGTAAAGCCACCGCCAGCGATGCTCGCTGACTACTCTATTCCTTTTAGGTAGCGACCCATGAATAGATCGCGCAACGCTGAAAAGCACCGAGGGAATGTCACGCGGGAAAGACTCAGAAGCGAGGGCTGTGCAAAGGAAAGAACGGAGAATTCGAAGTCCGCTGTTGCGGCGGTAACAGTGATGATGTTGGGACTCGACTTTGACTTACTGGGAATGCTGGGACGGGCAAAAGCAAGCTGCGAAGTCAGACAACGGTAATCAGCAAGCGAGTGTAAGACGAGTTCATTCATTCTGTTCTGCACACAGCGCATTGTGACTGCTATTGTGGTGGTGCGGGCAGGTGCTGGGTTGGTTGTGGGAGAGTGTGTCGGTGGGTAGAGCCGTTGTTGGGTTCGGCTCATGCATCATGTTTGGGAAAGGTTCCCTCCCTGCTTGCCTTGCTTTGCTTGGACTAGGTTGAACATTGGAGATTTGGCGAACCGCGAAATTACGTTGGTGTCTGTCCCGCACAAGCCGCGCGTTTCCTGCGGAAGCGATTTGGGAGAGGTACGCGAGGGAAGGAATTCGAGTCTCGAAACGTTTCGGTATTTTTCTTGGAAGTGCAATTGAGGGAGAGTGTAATGTTTTTTTCTACATTCCTTACCGCGTGCTTCACCACCGCGTATAGGACCAACCGTTGTTCGCCCGTTACTGCTAACGGGGCTTCGCCAACCTTCGCGCGCTGCATTTGCCAAACCATGCATCGCTGGCCTGGCCGTGTCGGCCCACGCCTCGATGCCAGCATCGCACTAGCTAGCTCACACGCGCCGCGTTATCGTTTGCACTTTCGCTTATAAGTATTCGCTCATGCCTTCGCTCATACCTTGTACTCATTTGACACTTTAGTGCAATCCTCACTACCTCGTTCCATTGCACCCGTAAAACTTGGTATCAGAGCCACTTTCCCTTCGGACCGCGCATTTCCGCAACCAGCATAGCTCAACTTTTGATGTTTTTTTTCACTCGAAGGGACTCATGCCCCTTAGCGTACTAGGAGCCGCTGTCCTTGCGCTCTCTCGTAAGCACGTGCAGCCACGACTGCGCCTAGCACCGAGATCGGCCGACGTCCCTCGACATGGCAGAACATATTGACCTTGCGAGCCTCACGCAGGAGCGCCTGGACGAACTGACTCGCCAACTGCGCGAAAGTTGCGAAGAAATCGCCCCGCTAACGGTACCGTGCTGCCCTCAAGCCAGAGATTCAGGCTGAGAACCAACCCTTCATGTACCACCCTCTGTACTTCCCCGCGACTCTCCTCCCTGACAACCTTCATGCTGTTCGAGACCACTTCCTCTCCCTAGACCCCGCTAGTCTCGACCTTGCCTCGTTTGAGACCCGTCTCCTCGAGGCCGAGACCAGGGCCCGCGATGTTGCTGTCTTCCGTGGCACTCCAAGCACCTCCTTCTTTAAGGGGTGCACTCCCTCCCTTCTCGTGTCCTTTGTTGCCTAGCTGCTGCTGTTGACTTCCTCAGTGCTGAGGAGGTCGGCGTTGTGTCCGCTTCTCGAGGGAGGCACGGCGGCAGGGGTGGGCGTAGTAAGGGTGGGGGTGGTGGGGGTGGTGGAGGTGGCGGTGGTGGTGGGGGTAGCGGGGGTGGCGGGGGTGGCGGAGGGGGGGGGGGGAGTGGTGGTCGTGGTTGAGCTGGCGGGGGTGGCGGGGGTGGAGCAGCAGGTGGAGGTGGCGGTTCTGGGGGTGGGCAGCAGCGTGTAGAGGCTGCTAGTGTTGGTGCGTGTGAGACTGCTTGCACAGGTGCAGAGGCGTCAATCTCGTTCACGCTGGACTCCGGCGCGACTCTGTGCTTCTTCCGCGACTACACAACCGTCACACCACTCCCGGCAACTGTCCCTGTCACTCTGGCTGACCCCACCTCTGGACCGGTCGTTGCACTCAGCTCCACTGTTCTCTTGTGTCCGACAGTCCCCTCTGGCTCCCTCACCGATCTCCACCTCCCTCGTTCGCTACGAGCTTGGTGAGTACCGGTCACCTCTAGGATATGTTGGTCACCACCACTATTTCTAGGGGCGAGCGTGTTGCGATCTCTACGAACACATGGTCTGGAGCTCACCTTGCCGCATTCATACGGAGGCCTGAGTCTGGATTGTACACACTACACACTGAGTCCCCTTAGGTGGCTGCGTCAGGTCAGGTAGCGGAGTCTTGCTCGTGTCGGTTGCTCACGCACAAGTCTCTCCTCTGGCACCACCGTCTTGGTCACCCTTCCCTTCAGCGCCTCCGCAGCATGCACTTGCGTCACCTTGTGTCTGGACTCCCGCAGACCCTTCCCCCGCTCCCGCCGTTGCTTGCGCCGCTGTGAACTCCCTGCGTCGAGGGGCGACAGCGAGCTGCTCCTCACTCCTCCTCGTTTCCTCCGACCACTGCTCCTCTGCAGACGCTGCACATGGACGTGTGGGGCCCGTGCCCCGTCCATGGGCCGCGCCGGAAGCGCTACTTTCTGCTGGTCGTCGACGACTTCACGCGCTACACCACGATGTTTCCCTTACAGCATAAGGGCGACGTCCATGATGTTATGATCCCTTGGATTCACGCTGCTCGTCTCCAGCAGAGAGATCGTTTCCAGCACGACCTCCCAGTGCTTCGTCTGCACTCTGACGTGAGGTCCTGAGGAGGGTGAGTTTGCCTTCGGTCTTCTTGAGGACTTCTGTCGTTGAGAGAATGGGATCACTGAGAGCCGCATTGGCTTGATGATCATGGAGGTTGCTCGCACCTCCATGATCCATGCAGCTGCTCCCCATTTTCTGTGGCCGTTTGCGGTCCGATACACCGCGCATCAACTCAACCTCTGACCCCGTGTTTCACAGCCAGAGGCCTCGCCTACCCTCCTTTGGACGGGGTCGCTGGGCGATGCGTCGCGGTTTCGGGTCTGGGGCTTGCTTGGCCTTGTCCGCGATCCTACCGCGGACAAGCTCTCTCCACGCGCTATTTGTTGCGTCTTCCTCGGTTTTCCCACCGCCGCCCCTGACTTGTCGTTTTACCACCCAGCCACCCGCCGCGTCCTTTCCTCCCGAGACGTCACATTTGACGAGTCGGTCTGCTACTACCATCTCTACCCCCACCGCAGTTGCCCCGTGCCCCCCCCGCCTCTCTTCCTGGTTCCGAGTCCGCCCCAGGTAGACCCCCTCCCCCCTCGTCCTGCTCCCTCAGGTGTGTCTCACGTCACCCCACTCCCCTCGGTTGTGCCTTTGGAGGTCTCCTCAGACTCCTCTGGCCCGGCTGAGGGGGGTGACCCTGCTGCTAACGACACGGCGGCCTCTAGCCGCTCGCCGCGCTTGGAGACACCTCCTGGTTTTCCACCTTGGTCGTATTCGCCTTCTCTGCAGCCTGTCGCTGTGGACTCCTAAGGCCCTGGTGCTATTGGGGCTGTTGACTCTGGAGGTGCTGGTTCTGCGTGTACTGGTTCTGGGGGTGCTGCCTCAGAAGTTGCTGAGGGTCCTCGTGTTGGTGGGGTCGAGGGTGCTGCTGCTGGAGGTTCTGGGGGTGTGCTGCAGCCGCTGCCGCATCGGCCGTTTTTGTGGGAGCAGCAGCCGTCGTTGCTGCCACTACCTAGGTCAGCTGCTGGAGGTTCTGGGGGTGCTGTAGCTGGACTTCTTGCCTCTGGGGGTGCTGGTGGTGCTGGTACTAGAGCTGGAGGTGCTGCCTCTGGAGCTGGAGGTCCTGGAGCTGGAGGTGCTGGTGCTGGTGGTGCTGGTGCTGGAGCTGGAGGTGCTGAGCCTGAGGGTGTTGGTAGTGCTGGAGCTGGAGGTGTTCCTGGGCCTGGCGGTCCTGGTGTTCGTGCTGGAGGAGCTGGGTCTGGGGGTGCGTCGCTGCCGCTGCCACAGCGACCGTTGTTCTGGGAGCAGCCGACGTCGTCGCTACCTCTACCTGGGTCGGCGTTTCACCACCGTCTCAAACTCCCGCCGGCCTCTGCTGAGACGTCTGCTACTGGTACTGTCAACAGGAGTTGTGTGTTGGCCCCGTCCTCGCTTGGGCGGAGCCGACTTCGTGGTCGGGTGAACGGGAGGTGCAGCCGACCTGCTGACAAGAACTAACTAGCATAATGAATTGACTAAGAAATGAAGGAACAAACAAGATATAACAAACCCTAGGAATAGTTCTAGCACAAGTGTAACAAAATGTACAAGACCTAGACTAACGTAAAGAAACTATAAAAATTTAGTTTGACACAACCCCATAGACTAGGTGACGACAGTCCTGTGGAAGGCAACACATATCTTAGGGTGGATCTCAAGATCACCACGCAGTCTGAGAGCAAGGACACAAGACCAGTCAGCAAGAACAAGCAACGGTCACAAGACCAGTCCACAAGAACAAAGCAAATCTCAGGGTGGATCTCAAGATCACCACGCAGTCCGAGAACAAGCAAGAGGCCACAAGGCCAGTCCACAAGCAAGTATATAGCAAGTATAAGAGATGCAAGAGTACAAGACAAGCAGGACAAGCATCTCTACGTAAGCAAGTGAGGACTGGCAGGCACAAGGCCCAGCTGGGTGCAGAAACGCTGGTGGTCATAAGGAGGCAACGCCCTGGTGAAGATATCTGCATTGTTGGCCTCAGAGACCACACGTCGCATGAGTACGTGAGCCAGGGAACCTCAGACGTGGTAGTCAGCTGCTACTCCCGGAGAACCCGTCCAAAGGGAGACCGACGTCA